GGAGAAAACAGTGTGAGTCATTTGCAGTCCAAAAGAAAAGTAAGCTTTCATAGTAACGAGGGAATAAATACTTTTAAAAATAGGTTAGGTTCTGATCCAATATCAGAATCCATCAAGAAAGCAAACTGCTCTTAGAGTAACACATGTATGCATACTTTTGAGTACCCATGTCATTCAGTCAAATGCCATAAAATGCTTAGATCAAAGGACCCAGTTTGGACTGAAGAGTCAAATCTCTGGCTGCCGCGTTTAGATATCCCTCCTTCACAGGAAGAGAACTGGGCTTCCAATTGCTTTATCTGACTGAGTCAGGTGTTATCCAGAGGCAGAAACGAACAAACCTTCCCAGCTGGTTAGGAAGAATTACATAGCAAGTAAGAACTATCAGACTAACAGTGGTCATAGTAGGCGACAACCAAAACAGAAGTTGGACAAATGGAATTGTAAGAGAGGCCTAGAATTAAAGCACACCGTGTGTGTGTGTGTGTGTGTGTGTGTGTGCGCACGCGTGCACGTGAAGAGCATGTGTGTTTCCAAACGTACGTATCAAGAGTTAATGCTGACTCCAGCTCCCTTGGAAGAGCGGATGCTGTTGACTTTTGCCCCTTTGTGTCAAATTCTTTCGGGGTGGGGGCTCTGTAAAGCCTCAGTTCTCAGTAAACACGTGGGCTGAGAGGCACCTGATTTGGGGAACAAGAAGCCCCATGATGGTCCTCTCCATTTGTGTGCTTTGCAGCTCACAAAGCCCTTGTTTGGAGGGTGCTCGGTAGAGGCCAGAAGCTATTAAGTTATTACTTGGATTCCTAGGGACAGAGCTCCCGACCCTGAGAATAGACTCTTGGTTTCTGACAGCACGTCTGGACAATGGAGGCATTCAGGAGCTGCCAGACTGAGAGTTGCAGAAGGCAAACAATGAAGGAAGGCTTTGGACTGATGGGGACAGGGTGTGTGGAGGCTGCAGGAGGACACAACCTGGGCTAATCCTTCTTTTCAAGATGCCAAAAGATATTTGCATCCGAATGGGGGAGGGGAGTGGAGGCCTGCCTGAGAAGGCACATCCTTCGCTCCTGCTCCTAGCGCATCTATTCCAGCTCCAGCAGCTAACGGGGATCACCGCATCATAATACGTGCACGTGCCTCAGCAGGAGGGGTCAGGGGTTGGGTGTTAGGGAAAAACAAAACAAAACAAAACACATCTACTATAAGGACAACCTGGAAGGTGAAAACAGCATTTAGGAAAGGAAGTATCAAGAAAAAGAAATAGAAAACCAGCTTCAGCATTTTGTACTCTATCCCATCCACAAACCAGTGCTGAGGGAGAATGCAAAAAGCAAAAGCCACGAATAGGAAGAAGCTGATTACTGAGAATCACGCCGGGAGAGGGGTCACGACCTGCACCATCACTGCCACACCTCTGGCTGAGGCAGGACATACTCGTAACAGCCACAGGATCAGGAACACGGGATGCAAACAGTAACACAAATACTCCGTATGTAGTTGGTAAGGCCTCGTGCATCTAAATAATTATTAAATAACTCAATGTTAACATTTTATAAGACAGTGGACAAAGTGTGTTTCTGTCCTCTTCAAATTGCTAGTTTTCTATTAGTACGATTCATGTGCAATATAATCTTTGCAAATAAGTTGTCCTTGGTGGGAAGATAAAAAAATAAAGAGCCCATCTACCTTGCTGAGAAACTCAAAATGTCCTTAAACTGAAACTCTGGGACCCAAGATGAGACGCACCTAAAAGATACTTCTGACAGCCTGGGGGGAACTGTCCATCTGAATTTGGTTACCTACCTCTGGCTTAAAAAAGCTTTAGATGGTTAAAACCACACGGTGTCCTTCACAAACAGGATGACAGTTGAAACTCATTCTGTCATGCCCTTGCAGTTGGTTCTTGTTTGGGTTTTTTTTTTTTTTTTTTCTGCCAAGTACTTTTTGCCAAGGATTTTCTTTGATTTCTCTACCTATTCATCACTACTGAAACCATCCCTAATAAAATGATGTTGGGAGATGGTTGGCCAAAAGACTTGGGAATTTCAGAAAATCAGAAAATGTTCAGAGTTCAGAAGGACCACTGAAATCATCTGGTGAAGAATGAAAAATAGATTTCATTCCATTTTCCAACTGTAATTAGAAGCGGGTGCCTGGAGGCCAGAGGATGAATAAGAAGAATTGAAAGGCTGTAACTAAGTGGGAGAATGTGTGTTCTAAGTGATTAGCAATGACTGCAAAAATGGCCATGGAAGAAGCCAAAGCCCAAGTGCCATCACAATCTGCTCCAGTCTCCTGCTTTTATAAATGTGCGAACTAAGAACCTGGAAGGTGAAATGAGGTAACCACGCTAAGATCTCACAGTGATGTGTCTATAGCATCAAGTGACCCCAGTGGACTCCCCTGAATCTTGCACTCCTGCTGCCTTCTGTTATTGACAGTAAGCATTAGCCAACAATAGTCAAGGGCCATCCAGTCCCCTTTTAAGGAAGCAGCACCAAAAGCCACCAAGTATGTGTACTTCTCAATTATTCACTCCCACGAAGCACACAAGGACTCAGATTTGACCAAGCACTCAGATTTAATGAAGCCCTAATCTGGTGCTTCGTAGCTGTGGAGACTTCAGAAGGTAATTCGCCTCCACTGCCCCCCACATAGGTTTTTTTATTTAGAAAATTATTCCCAATTTTGCTCACTCCTTCCAAAAGTATAAAGTATAACAAAACTATCATATTCTTTTAGAGCAAAGTTCTTCTTAGAGCATTATTAGAGAAATGATGGCTAAAGGTTTTTGTATTGTCCCTTGGAAACTGTATCACTCACAGGATCTCTTTGGGGAGTTATAAAATATCAACACTTAGATAATCCCTTCCAACCAAGCACCAAGGAAAATACTGCAAATAGCAATGGAAACCAAACTGAGATAAAGTCAATTTTAAGAAGAGAGACCGTCACAGGTCATTTTCTGCCTTCTAATCAGCTCTAACTTTTGCTAATCAACTGATTTCATTTTCCCATGAACTATCTTGACTGTTGAACTTGCACACAGCAGCAATCAAATGCTGAGATTCAAGTCACTCCAAGAGATCCCAGCCCCTTATTTGTGAACAATGCTCATATTTTTCTACCTTGCCTTAAACTCAAGATAACATCTTTTCAATGCTAAGGTATTGGCCCTAAGGCCTATTCCCTTCCTCAGTTGTGCATTCTGCTACTATGGGTTCCTTTGTGCAGGGAAAGGTCTCCACATTTTACCTTCCTTTACTTCTCTGATGCCCCTTCAGGGCTGCTAACCTGAGAAATGCCTAGATACACATTGAAGAAGGCTCTGGGAACGTCAGCAGCTCCTGTTTGTGTAAGGTTTACTGCCTACAAATGCCTTTTGGGATTCTTACAGCCACCCTGTTTGGCAGACATTCTCACTCTGTTTTGACTACCTAAGAAGCTAAGGTTTAGAAGAACTATCAAAACTGACTGGGATTACACTTCAGATAAGGGACAGATAGGACAGTGTTTCAAACCTGGATCTCCAAGTTCCAGGTTCAAAATTTATCGTACTATGTCATGTTATACTGCAAATGGTCTTCCTTGAACTTTTAATATTTAACCATAAAACGAAAAGTCTACCAGTCTATTCCAAATTGTAAGTTATCAGAATAATTTATATTGTTTCCTTTTCTAGTGATACATGAAATAAAAGTGTCTTACAATGGACGGCATCTTAGATTCAGTTAAATGCAGTCATATTTGCTTTTGCTTACTTTATACATTTCCAGTAAAAAATCTTAATGAGACAAATGACCAAAATAAAGATCATGGATCACAGTATTCAAAACCCATTTCTGGACAATCTCTAACAAGTGGCCAGTCTAGCCATTTTCTAGAAAGAACAACTGCCTTGTGTAACAGATGCATTTGGCAAACAAGGGGAGGTCAGGAGAATGGTACAGAAAGTACTCTTTGGGAAGCGCACCTTAAATACCTAAGAATAAACACAGCAGGTTTTCTTTCAAGTATCTTTCTTCCCTGTTATTACCCACATCGAGACCCACTGTTTGCTCAGGGGCACCTGGGTGGCTCAGGTGGTTAAGTAGCTGACTCGATTTCAGCTCAGGTCATGGTCTCACAGTTCATGAGTTTAAGCCCCACATCTGGCTCTGGGCTGACAGAGTGGGGCCTGCTTGGGATTCTCTCTCTCCCTCTGTCTCTGCTCTACCCCTGCTTATGCTCTCTCTCTGTCTCTCTCTGTCTCTCTGAAAATAAATAAGCAAACAAACAAACTTAAAACAAAGAAAAAAGAGCTACTGTTTGTTCAGTATTACTCAGATTTGTAATCCAAAACTTGAATTTTACCTGCTTCAGTTCTGGAATTGAAAAATGAGGCTCAGAAGATTAAATGTTAGCTTGGTTCTTGTTTTAGAAAACAAAGAAAACATCCAAGACTGGACACGAGAATCCAGAAAAGTATTTGTCCCCAGGCACTATGAACTCTAGGAATCATGTGCTGATGGTTTCTGTAGTGGGAGAAGGGCAAAGGGTGAGGCTGCTCTCATCCCAGAGATTCCATTTACTTATTTATTTCATCTCAGTGTAGTTCTGATTTCTTATCTGCAGCAAACCTTCCCTTTACAGCTCTCAGAATTAATATTTTCTGTCCCTGGCGTCCTTTAAACTCTCAATTTACTTCCCTTGACCCTTCGCAACATAGTCTCAAAACCAACATCTCCACTGCCTACCTCCCTTCCTTAGCACAAATTTCACCCCGTCCAATACACCTAACTGTGGGGACCTGTTAACCACAAATCTTGTTTAGGAAAAACTGACTTTCCCCAAGTTAGAATGTGTGACAGCATTAAGGTAAAATACTGGCATTACTTTACTATTACGTCAAACTTCAAAATAGTTAATTCCTTTGGGAAGAAAAAGAGATTTATATGAAATACTTGGAAAAACTGCTGACTTTATTCAAATCAC